TGTCGAGTCGATCGAATAAAAATTGGAAAACTCAAAAACACTAAACACCAAAGCGACGAGGAGTCGGCACTCGTTGTGACAGTCAATAACCGCATTAACTCCACCATTAACAAGTCAAAAAATAGGAACACACCAACATATCAACCTCCAGCAAGAGAAAAATCGCCAGTAACTAATAGATGCCCCACTAAAACTGCTCTGCAAGTATCTTATGCAGAGCTGGTGCACAGTTTCAAGGACAATATATACTTCCATCAGCCTCTTACACAATATGCATACCCTCACATATGGGACACATCAAAATATTGTGCTTTGATAAAAACCATGATCACAACACCAAGAATTGTCAACATCTTAACAGCCTAATAATGGAAGGAACTTAAAAAGGCCAAGAAGCTCAGAAACACAGCTACTCCATTTGAATGTTCATGGAACTCAGCAATTCAACAACCATATTCAACCATACTGGACTACTCGGTATTTGATATACACTCATACAGTCATACTTAGAAAACTCAAAATTCAAAATTCAGTAAAAGAATAAAGGAACTCGGTGTTATTACTTGCTCATACTCGAGTAACTCGACATTCAGCACACTTAGAAAACACAATATCCAATGCTTAACAATACTTGGAGAAGTAGATGCTCGATTATGCTCAACAGTATCTTTATCAACTAGATACTGACCATAAAAGATTTGATTTCATGAAAATTATTAAGAAGTTGAAAACTCTTTGCAGTCAATATTCTTTTAATCAATTTGAAGTTGGTTAAATTACAAATTTGGAACTTGAACCATTGATGACTTAAATTAAGATCCACAAAATAAAAAATTGAAACCTAAATGCAACTAAACAAATTAAACAAGAGGTAAACTAATTTAAGCTTCGGATCAGAGTAATCTTGATTAAAAATTAAGATTAAAATTGTCAAATTACTCCCTACATCAAAGCTAACACCCCTAGGTAAACAAAAATTCTACACTTAATGAAATCACCCAAACACTTTACAAATAAGTTTCATATGAGGAAAATAAATAATAGATTTGTTATAAAAATTGATTTAAATATAAAAAATTATGATCACTGAGACAAATATATATAGAGAGTATTGTAGGGAGTCTATGAAAGCAATATACGATGCAAAGATTTTCACTTTTAATGATTTATATAATAAATTAGATACTAACGAGGACGAAAGATACATGTATAAGTTTGTCAAATAAAGAGATAATAGTAAGGATTTAGTTCAAGTGATGTTTATTTAAGGAAGAAGATTAAAAAGTACTTCTATTAGAAGAAAATATTCAACAAAGATGGATGAAGATATTTTTCTAAACTTTTCAATAAAGATTATGAGAATATAATTGACTTTAGTGACCTTAGCACCAAAAATGAAAATAAAGATTTTTATTTTTATCGACGTATTAGTAAAACCAACGTTAGAGAGGCTTTATTGAAAATAAAGTGTAGAAAAGTTGTTGGACCTAATGATGTTCCAATAGTGTGGAAATGCTTTAGAGATGAAGGAATTTCTTGGCTCACTAAACTTTGTAATATTATTTTGAAGAATAAAGAGATGCTAGTTAAGTGGAGAATAGAGTGTGTTAATTCCTATTTTTAAGAATAAAGGCGATGCACAAGATTGTGCAAATTATATTAAGTTCATGTGTCATACTTTAAAACTATGGGAGAGGGTTATGAAGCATAGGTTGCGGCACGATAATAATGTTTCTCAAAATCAATTTGGATTCAGGCCAGGTAAGACTACTATGGAAGATATACATTTATTGAGAGGCTTGATGGAGAAGTATAGAGAGAATGAGGATATACATATGATATTTATTGATTTAGAGAAAGCATATGATAAAGTCCAAGAGAAGTGCTATGGGGAGTTCTAGAAAAGAAAGGGGTTAATAATTCTTATACTCAAGTCATTAAGGATACGTATGCATGAGCTATTACTTGTGTTCAAACACAAGGTGGTTTGACCAAGTATTTCCTATTTCAAATGGATTACATCCATCAACCTTAAGCCCATATCTTTTTGTTTTAGTCATGGATGTTCTCACTAGACATTTGCAAGAGGTTGTATTATGGTGTATGTTTTTTACTGATGATATTCTTCTTGTTTATAAGACTAGAGAGAGTTGAAGTTAAACATGAATTATGGAGGTCAACCTTAGAATCTAAAGGCTTTCGTTTGAGTAGATCTAAAACTAAATATATGGAGAGTAATTTTGGTAATAATAGAGTGGGGATTGTGACTTTGGGTGATCAAGTCATTAATATGAATACACATTTTTAATATCTTGGCCTTATTATTTAGAGTGATGGTGAAGTAGATTGGGGATTATTAGTAGAATTCAAGTTGGATGGTTGAAGTGGAGGAATGCATCGGGCTTGTTGTGTAATAGAATAGTCTCCCTCAAACTTAAGGGAAATTCTATAAAATGATGGTTAGACCTGCAATGCTTTATGATGCAAAATGTTGGTCATTAAAAGAGAAGCATAATATTAAGTGTTGCAGAGATGTGGATGCTCAGGTGGATTGTGGCTTTACTCTCAGAGACATGATATAAAATAAGCATATACATGAAAAGGTTGAAGTAGCTCCAGTGGAAAATAAGATTAGAAAGAGTCGTCTTAAACAGTTTGGTCACATAAAACAACAGTCTTCCGATGACCCAGTTAGCAAAGTATGGTCACATAAAACAGCAGTCTTCCGATGACCCAGTTAGCAAAGTAGATGAATTAGATTTAACTTATCTTAAGAAAGATAGAGATAGACCTAAAATGACTTGGTTAGGAAAAATTAGAAATGATATTTATTTCTTAGATTTAAATGAGAATTTAATTCTTAAAAGAACAAAATGGAAAAAAAATTATTCAAGTAGCCGACCCCACATAGTGGGATAAAGACTTGATGTTGTTGTGGTTTATTGTTGTTAAGAAATCAATGAATTCTGGTGAACCTGGCAGAACAATGATCTTGGTTACCAACTAATTTATCAATCTAGCTAGAAATTCAATAATTAGACAACTCATCAATTCCGCAACATATATATTCTTAATATTACTTTAAAAATCATACAAGTAAAATAGTTTGAAACTTAAAAGCACATGGATAATGAAAAGTAAAGCCTTAGAATTCTAAATCCCCTTTTCCTTTCAAGATGCTAGTCAATCAATGGCTTCACAAGTACCTATTTGGTATCTGAAGATCCTCACATGTATTTAAGGTAATCAGATAGCCACTAGCTAGCAATATTCATTTTACTACAAGCATTTATCAAGAAATGCCATGAAATTTACTTAATCACCTTAAATGTGACATTTTCCCATAGCATATATGCCCAGCTTTTGATCGATACATTAATAATCAAATTACTATCAAATCGAATAAGATCAAACAAAATCTTATTTCTATTTGACTCATTAAATAAATGAACTTGTAAACATCAATCAAACATTAGGTATTTATCAATGGTTACAATACTCACAAAATGTGGGCCAATTGCTTTGGGGACTACATAATATGAGCATTCAAGTTGGTTCAAATTCAAAAACCACGAATTAAGCCCATTTACCACTACTCAAAGCAGAAAAAGCTGCACCAGAGCAACATAACTAAGAACCAATTCTAAACATTTAACTGCCTTGATTTTCAACCCTTTTTCAATATTTAAATTTTCCTAGTAGCCATATGATAATGAAGCCTCAAGTTATCTCGATAGTCAACACATCCTAAAGCAGAATAGGAGAAAGCAAAGTAGAAAAATGTATTGTGTAAGAGTCACTGCAACTAAATGGCATTTGTGAATACGTTTTTAAAAAAATACCATTTTTTTTATAAATATGGGACTTTATTCTTTTTTTAGTTTCAAACCTGCATAGCAACAATTGTTTTAAATCAACAATTTATTTCAAATTAAAGGATTTCTGAAAATGCAAAATCCAACATATAACAGTATATTAAAACCTTACATGTAAAATTCATGCTTTTCTTAATTTACAAAACAATATAACATACCAAGATGCACCACTAACTATTCCATGAGCAGCATACCTTACCAAACAGCTCATTGAAAAATGGATTAATTTTTGTCATCAGGTATATCGATTATTACCATCATCATTAGCCTTACTCTAAATGATGGAGGAATTTTTTATAGAGGAAAGTTTATCTAATCTTTTTTTGAGTTAAAATGAAGAATTAACCATATTATACAAAAGCATTTTTCAAAACATATGAAAATGTTAACTTTGATCAACTATATTTCATTTCTAATCCTACTTGTCACATTCAGGGATTGTCTGTTCTCCATTATAAATCATCAATCACATTAATTTTACAAATATGTTATATTCAAACAATGACAACTTTAACATTCCTCTAGCATGATCATAACCTGCACCACTAACAACTCATTTCTACCAAACATTCAAAATGTTGAAAATTTTACTTTTCACTTCTTTATCTTCAAAAAGTGATATTTTTACACTTCTCATATAAAACCATAAGACATTCTATCCTTCCAAATTTTAGCAGACTCTAGCCTTAATAATTTCTGGATCATCTCACAATTACAAAAATGCTATTCTCACATCATACATATTTTTAACAACTTTCGCATGAGTTTTGCCCTCATTTTACAGCAAATTATTGCCTCAACAATCAGTTATGTCTATCAAAGTTCAATAATCATATCAAATATTTTCATTATTGTAAACGTTAATTTTCCAAAAACATAAATAACCGTCAAGATAGATCTTCATGCACAAGTTAACTTAATACAATGATCATAACATTATCATTCTATTGATGATATAGATTTCCCTCACACGTAGCTTTATTTAATGACTAATAAATTTGATTCATTCGCAATTTCAAATGAAACCATCGCCAATTAGAACAAATAGATATAATTCCCTTGTGAAACAAGTATAGATGATAGGTAGATCAACAATCACAACAATTTCTAGATGATTAAAAGAAGAAATCAAAATCAGCTCAAATAACTGTTTGGGAAATCTAATCCAAAAGAAAATGTTTATAAAGAAAGACAGAATTCACCATATCCAAATAAGGCGATTACACCAGACAAAGTAGCATGTTCTCTTCATAAAAATTCAAATAGCCAACCAAACTAAAAGAAAGCTAAAATACCAAATAAATAGCAGAAATTAACAAGCATCATTCCCCTCAGTAGCCATCGCCCCAACTTTCACTCACCTTGGGCCTTCTGGTAGACGTAAGTGAGACCGCACTTGCCGCAATAGTGGCGATCAAAGTGGTTCGCCATAAAAGTCCCAGCACCGCACTCGGCGTTTGGGCACTCCTTCCTGAGACGCGCCATTTTGCCAGAGTCGTCTACTTTATAAAATTGTAGCACAGCGAGCTTTACCTTCTTCTTTTTGTGCTTAATCTTCTTGGGCTTGGTGTATGTTTTCTTCTTACGCTTCTTAGCGCCTCCGCGGAGGCGAAGGACGAGGTGGAGGGTCGACTCCTTCTGGATATTATAGTCGGCCAGAGTACGTCCATCCTCGAGCTGCTTACCGGCGAAGATAAGGCGTTGCTGGTCCGGAGGAATGCCTTCCTTGTCCTGGATCTTGGCCTTAACGTTGTCAATGGTATCGGAGGATTCCACCTCCAGGGTAATCGTCTTCCCCGTTAGGGTTTTCACGAAGATCTGCATCTTGCCAGCGAACAGAGGCGGCAGAAGCCGCCGAAAGCGATCAAGATCGGTATATAAAGGTGGGAGGTCCAACAAAAACGCAGACGGCTAAGGCTTGAATTAGGGTTTCTTAGAGCTATAAGGGCTTCGCGGCAGTTTTATATGAAGACGTGTTGAGATGTCTCGCGGAGAAACATATGGTATGTTATAGGGCAATCACTATATATAAAGATAAATTTTAAAGGATTTTTTAAATACATAACATTTAAAACTATCATAAATACATATTTAACACTTAAATTATTGTATTTACTAATATATCATTTAAAACCCCACTTTTCCTCAATTCTATCACTCCGTTTAAACCCCCATCAGAAATCTCGTCGAGCCGTCTTCTTCTGTTCATTCACGCGAGATGGGTTGGCCGGTAGAACAAGAGCAACGGCGGCGATGTCTCCGGCAATCTGGAGCTGGCTAACCCCCGTCAAAAATTTGCTTTTCGTCTGCAAGGTTGCGAGCGGAGCCTGCTCTACTGTTTCCGCTTTTGTTCCCGCTTCAAGTGCTTCACATTCTAGAGCTAAAGTTCTGTATTCTACATGCGATATCTTATTCCCTATATTATGTGATGGCAAGATCCTGTAGCAACAAGATGAGAAGTGCATATATCTTGGACATTTGTACACCTGCACTAAGAAGAGTCATTCACAATCATCCTGCCTCTAGAGTCATACGCCATCTTAGAGGAAGCCTTCCCACTAGAAATAGCATCCCCACACGGGATTATTTGGGTCGAATCACAAACCTGGGCAGAGCTCCCAAGATCGCCGCTTGGTGGTTCTGCGTCAGGAACAGAGTCGTCGGAATGCAGGTCCTGATCTATGGGAAACCTCATAATAGAGATTGAGTCTTCGGCAGTAGAGCTATTGTCAATTATGGCATAACATCCGATTGAACGAGTATTTTAGGAGCTGATTGCGAGTCAAGTGGCTGGTCTGACAGGTTAGAACTGTGATCCTCCTCGTTGTCCATCGTCGTCCATCTGTTCGGATGTATTCGCACAAGCTAAGGAAGACGATTCCATCGCGAAATATAGCTTTCAGAGTTTAGTTTTGACGCGAGAGAAACGAAGTAATATATCTAATGAGGGATAGGACTTTTAGGTGGTAGAAGGGTAAAATATTAAATTTTAGGTGTTAGATAAGTAAATTGAGAGGTTTTAAGCGTTAGGTATGTAAAAACCCTATTTTTAAAATAGATTTCATTAAATATTTAATTTTCTAACTCATTAGTAATTATTAAAAAAACTAAAAGTATTCAAAGTTATTCATTCCAATCTATTTTATATTTTTTTAAATAAATCTTCATTGATGATTATAGGTTATCTTTAACTAGTGAAGGTATTGAATTTCTTACTTTCTTATTGAAAGTGACATTATTTTAGCAGTCTAACAATATTGTCAAATCAAATTATATTGATTAAGAATTTTATTACTTAAGTGATCTACATATTGTATATAATTTAACTTAAAATTGTAGAGTTAGGATAAGTTAATAAAAATGCAATATTAACTAAATAACTACAATTTCTAATATTAGAGTATATTTGTGAATATTTAGTGAGAGAAGTAATGAGTTATATATGAAGAACTAAGTTTAATGATGGTAGGATAGGATACTATAGTTATTGATTGATAGTTATGTAATTTATTTGATATTATTGTTAGCAAAAACATCTCTCTTCATATGAGTTGTTTAATAGTAATGTCCAATGGATGAGATTATGTATACCATAAATTTTTTTTTTTGAAATGAAATTTATATTTTATTAACAATGTGTGGCTCATGTAAGTTCAATTATATAAGTGATGATTCTAGTAGTGGGGTTGAACATTGAGTGTAATTTCTTCAATTAGGTTTGATTTATCAAAAACTTGAATTCTATATTTTGTCTTTTTTCTTCATAATATATTGGCCAAGTTTTGAGAAGACTCGAGGCATTCCCACAAAAGAATTGCTAAATATTACAAGCATATGATTACATGCTTGTATGACAAGATCTTCTAATAGCCCGCTAGAGCTAAAGGCGAAGGCAAATGAAATTTTTAGGTGTTGCATGCATGTATATTTGGACAAACGATAGGGATCGTTTACACTTGTATTTCTATGTTGAAGCAATGAGAGTAGAAGCTAATAAAATGGGAGATTTCTTAAATGCTTCCAAATAGAAATATATCAAAGAGAAGTTCTTACAACAAGATCATTGTCTGGTTAGCGCTCACTTTCTTTAGATGTAGTATCATGATATATGACATGAAAGAGAAGGTGAGACGTCAACCATTGTTGAAAAGCCTCCTCTTAATCTTAAGCATATTATTCTTTATCGTTTATGGGATTCTGATGAGGAATGTTATATTTTAGACATCTATAAGAAATGCATGAAGAAGTTATTGTATGGAGGTAAAAGAAGAAATATTTTAAATAGAATAGACTGACAAGACCTCCAATTTGAGTTTCACTTCTGTTGTTACCCTACTCAACCTCATCTTCAAGCATGCAAGCATATATTGCTTAATGAGAAGTAATGATTTGTAGTCCTCTTAAGTTGTATGTATTTCGTTGTGGTGGCTAGGTTGGTTTGGTAGTAGTAATTATTAAATGTTTGAGCTTAATGTGATGTAGTTGATCGCAATGTGTTAACTTCTTTATTTAATCAATTTTATGTATTTCATTTTCATCATTTATTAATCTAAGAAGTTATCCTTATGAATAATCTCTACCTAATAACTGATGTAATGAGAACTCCTGTCACTATAATAAGATGAGTACATGATATAATATACATAACAATAAAGAACATTTCGATAAAGAAAATTATAACAACTCTAATATAACATAATTTAACACTTCTTCAATCTCTAATCATACAAGCTTTTATATGAAAATTAAAATATAAATTATATTTAAAATATTGAAACCTATGGGCTGATTATTGGGCTCTTAATTGGGGTTTTTCTTTGATCCTTTCCTTGGGCATTAGTCTTAGTTCTTCTAATTTGGCTTTTATCATGATTATATTTATCCATATAATGTTCTACATCAACTAGTAGATAAAGCTTAGAATATATTCTTTATAATTATTATTATAATCTAATTATGGTACTCTTGAAAGTTAAGGGAGGTTGTAAGACCTCGGTGAACTAATCCTAGGCGCACCAAGAGTGAAATGAATTGGTATTTAAAAAAAAAACTGCAACAAAAACTTTCTTTCATTTTATGCTAGATAACGGTTTTTTTAAACAAATCTAAATGAGTAACTTAACACATGCGGAACCAATTTAGAATTTGAAATATTTTGTGGTTGAGGCACAAATAAATCAACCAAAATATGAAAATTTTCTTTTTTTGCTAATCACGAATTAACCAAACTGCAACTTGCAAAAAAAGATGAAATTCGTGTAAAAAATTTAAGTACATATAAAAAAAAGTAAAAATAAATAAGAAATAACACAGAAATAAATTTTATAGTAGTTTGGTCAGCCTTAACCTACGTCCACTCTCCATAGTCCTCCTCTTCGGGTATTATACTAACACTATAGTGACTCTTCTTTTGCACCAATAGTAAGGAGGAGAAGCCCTTACAAGAATCACTTCCACCAAATCCGATGTGGTGAAGAACTAGAAGCTATGTCAACTCCTGGTGATGGCAACATACATTCAATCCTTTTTCACCCTCCTATTGAAGAAATAGAACCCAAAGAATATTTCTAACCCTCCTGATGATGGTAGAGAACCGTCAATCTTTTTTTCACCCCCATGGTGAAAGCAGAGAACCTTAAACCCTGACTTTAAAGCTTCTTTCCCAATAGAAACTTTAATAACTCATCAATGTTACAGGAGGAAGATGGGTACACGTATGCCTGGAGCAACCATGTGAATACCCCTCACACTCCTCCCTCACACACAACCTCACCTTCTTCCTCTATAAGCCCAAAGCTCTCTCAAGAAATTCTCCCTCAAAGTTTCTTCAACATCAAATAGTTCTTACAAAAAGACTTTAACAAGATGCTTAATTACAAGGCTTCAAAAAACCCTAAATTTTTAATTTAGTCACTTTTGTTCGTACAATATGATATGGGTTTATACAGTACTATCTATTAAAAAATAGGACTCGTCTAGTACACTGAAATAATCATTTAAAAGAATTATTTAAATTTAGTAAATATATCATATATTATGATCGTAAGTTCGTACAGTATGATTAGTTTAATTCAACTCTATTTGTATAGGATGGTTATGGGGACGATTAGAAATCGTCTCTATCAATCATCTGATATGATTCACATTATATAGTACGGTCATTGCAATATCAACAGTTCGTATAATATGATATATATTTCATATTATACGATTAGTTCAAAAATTAAAATTTTCATCGAGTACAATCTCTATGATGACCGAATTTCATCTCTGTCAATCATACAGTATGATCTTTATCTTACAGTATGATTAGCCATATTTATTAAATATTGATTTAATTTACTAATCACGAGAGATATTTTAAGTAAGATTTCAAATATTGTACAGTACGATTAGTTTAAAATTCAATTTTAAAATTTCTTACTTAATTTATTTGGTGGTTAGGGTATACATATCAAAACAAATCATACAATACGATCTACATCGCACAATACGATTAGTTCATAAGCATTAATGATTCAATTAGTCGTTAACCCTCTTTTTTATAAAATTGATCAAATAGTATAATAGTAATCGTATGGTACGATTACTTCAAAAAAAATTCATCTCAAATTTTCTTTGCTCTCCCTCTGTGTGTGTGTTCGGTCGTCAATTTTGCATACACTCTTACATGGAAAAACTTAAGAAATAGAAAATAAAAGAAAGTGAATATTACAGACTCTTTTCAATGATAACTTATTATAACCAAACTTGAGTCTTGATCAATCTTGAGTGATGTGTTATGCACCTGAGATGTTAGTGCAAAGAAAAAAAAAAATCCAATATATATGCTAGAAGAAATAAAATCTCAATCAATAATATTTGTTAACATCAAACTCACATGCTGGGTATCATAGATTGCAACAATTCTCAAATTCATAGAAGTATGTTCTAAAATTATATTT